TTTTAGTATAAAACATGTAAATTGTGAGGGTTCTTCATAGATCGACTGGGACAGCTTTTATAATTATGCAATCAAGTTCATGTATTGAACTTTTTCTTCTCGAAAGCTAAGTATTTTAGAGATTAAATAGGTTCCATCCACAGTAATGCTGCCCATTCCTCTTTGCCTGGCAAAGCAGCTGACTCATCAATAACATTTTGTCCATAGTGTCTGGATTCATTACGTGCTGCTGCATCGAGCTTGATAAGGCCAATTACCACAACAAGGCTCTCATGATATCAGAGATCAAAGTTTAAGTCAATTTCTAAAGTGACGTCGAGAGACATATTGCACGATGCAAATTACCAGTTTGGTTGCCTCTGAGATTTGCAAAGAGGAGTGTGGAAAAGTACATGCTCCATCATGTGTCAAGTGGATCTAAATGTCAACAAATTCTGTCCACCCTGCATGAATAGCAAGAGAGAATTTGTATTTTTTTTTATTTATTTTGTTTTTTTTTGCTGTTCTGGGAATCCTAAAGGTTATAAGTAAACATTCATAATAGCTGTATGTAAATGGGTGTGCATGTGTGTTTTTCGGACTAGTGGAGCGCTGAAGAAGAGCCTAACCGCTGCTATCTGCTTGACATTTCTGTCAGCATCGGTATTTCAACTGCTGGGTAGCTTTGATAAATACCATGGCTGTCACAGGCTCGATTTTAATTACACCTGACCAGGTCTTTCAGGAGCTCATGGATGAACTTAATTAGCTCACAAGCACTCAGGGTAGCTCTGGTGTGAGCTGGTACCACATATGCAGCTTCTTTTTGTGCCTTTTTTTAAAATTTATTGGTATTTTAACTGCAAGAATTAACAAAGACGAGGAACGAAAATAGATGTGAAGAACACAAGTCTACTCTGCAATGTAAAACGCAGTGGCGCATAAACAACAATGCTTTTAAATGCCACACAGTGTTATGGAATGAAACATATTGGCAATTGTGTTCAGAAAATCACTGTATATGTTGCTTTGGTATTATGAAACAGTGATGAATCTAATTTAAGTTTTGTCTGAAGAGAAAATAACACCCTAATCACACCACAGCATATCTATTTTGCATTTGAATGACAGAGGGAGATATGGGAAGTAAATAACGCTGCTGCTTCACCTTCCTGCACATCTGATACCTGCAGTAGTTAGCCAAGATGAAACGTGCTACAGGAGGCTTCTTAAAAATTCTCTGCCATGGGTTTTGCAATGTGGTGTGATTTCACTCAACATCTGCTTCAAACAGGTCAGAGTTTGTTTTCCTGCTGGTTCTACTTGGCCAGGTGAATCCTGGTATGGTTAGTTTATAGCAGAAATGAAGACAGAGAAAACCAAAGAGAGGAAATGTCATCTCACATGCGTATGATTTGCAGGGGGAGACGTGATCAGAAAACCTTTAAACCTACTTTCTGATTTAACTCATCTCAAATTTATTTGGGAGAACTCAGAACATTCAACTCGATTCTTAAATATAGTAAAAAAAGAAAATGGTGAAGATATTTTGACAAAAGTAGCTTAATCTCTTATACCTTTCATCCAAATAAACATACGCTACACAAGTCAGGCAGGATTTAGAGGGATGCACATTGTTTACAACCATGACTGGACTTTTCTCAGTGTAGATCCACGTGACATTCACAGCAGAAAGGGAAGCGAACTGACAATTTATTCATGGGTTTATAAAGGACCATTTTCATCACAGTCGGACTTTTTGAGGAAAGTCTTAGTGTATCCAGAAAACCCACAGAAAAAAAGAGAGTGGTTCTGAATTGTCTGGATTTGTTCTGGATATTCTTTTTCATATCGGCAGTAAAAAATGGACATTTCTTCCACATAAAGCCTTAAATGCCCATGCATGTCGATTCATGTGGCTTATGTAAAAGTAGTGGTGAGTAAAAACACCACTATTACATTAATGAAATATGTTTTGATCTGTTCCGATTGTTTTCTAAGGACAACATTTCGGACGGGTTGAATCATTATATTCACTATATTTTCTATATATTTTCTTCATCAGAAGAGAGTTTGGCATACTAAAAAAAAAAAAGTTTGCAGCTCTTTTCAAACTCCTTGAAGGCTTGTGGAGTTTGTCGGTATGAAAAAACCAAGCACAAAAACGATAACCCTTTTTTAGGAAACAGCAACCTGCCGAGTTTTGGATCAACACATTCTGTTCTGAGATTGTACATAAATCTGAATACGTTACTGAAATTTGCATTCGCAATGAAGAGACTGTTTTCTCCAAGTAGAACATTCACACAGGCCGTTGGGTTTTCGCCCTCGGTATCTTCTTCTAAGAAAAACCTTCATATGTTATTTTGTTAATATTTTACCAATGTCCTTAAGTGCAAGAAGTTCTCACTTAATTAGGAAAAAGAAGTCTGCAAAACAATCTCCGGGCTATGTGGTATTCATGTCAGCTCAATTTTAGTTTAGCACCCTGACGACTAAAGATAACACAGAGACCTGGGTTCCACTAGCTCTCCTCCCTGCGCATAACAAGGCCATACTGATGATTAAGTGGCTGGTGTAATTTAATGAACACAAAGCCATCCAAGTGGAAGGACATTTTAATTGAAATCTCCTTCTGTTTAATAACTCAACATATTCTGAGTGAGACACTCTTCAAGAGATATCTGAGGTGAATGTGTTGTCAGCAATAAAAGGGGAACTGTGATCCATTTATCCACACCGGTCTTCGACTCCTCAGAGGCTTTCCGACTGTTCTTTGCACCGTTTACCTCAGGTGGAGTGACAATCCCACCTCTCTCTTCTGTATTCGCCCTCCTACGGTCTTGTCACAGGCGGCGATGAGAATAGAAAGCTGTGGTTGCTCACTTTCACCCACTTAACGGCAAACATTTCACAGGAGTCAAGAGCCAAGAAAATGTGTGAAATAAAAATAACTTATTTTCCAACAGTGACGTTATTGCCAACTTCTTTACTTTATAACCGCATTGTTTTTTTGTTGTTTTTTTCACAGCAGCAGCTCGACAACTTGCACATTAACTGAGAAGCAAGCGATGCACTTTTAATCCTTCATCTGTGCCTAAATGAACAAAAGCATACATTTTAGTGCAATGTCATACCAAAAAAACAATAATTTATTATCATTTCTTTTGTAAAGATCACCATCATCACACATTTCACCTTGCTACAAATGTGTCACGTATGCATTACTCCATCAGACACTAATCCAAAACGTACAGTTTTAAATTTCAAATTTACAATACGTCAGTTCAAAATGAGGCATTTCAATGAGCACTGCACTTAATACTGAACTATAAAGACGTTCGATAAAAAAAAAAACATGTAATTAAATAATAATAATTAAAAAAATGTCTCCTCCACGGTTCTAAAGTGTTCTGAGTCCTGCTCAGTGGCAATCATTCAAACACCAGTTTAAAGGGCAAATATCATAACATTTTACAGCCAGAAAAGCTAAACATCCTTAAAATGTGGAACAAATATAACTCCCAATCAGCCTTTCCGTTGTTTTTCCAAACAATTATTATTTAAAGACATAGTTTTCTTGAGGCAAAAAGAGCCTTTGCTAAGATTCGTCTGTAAAATGGAAAGGCACTTCCAAATATGAATAACCATGCATCATCTGGAATAACAGAGCAAGATCGTTTTAAAGAGAAACTGATGAAATCTGACAAATGAAACAGAATAAGCACACTTAATTTTCTTCAAAAATGCTTTGCACTTTTCTAGTGCAAAGATCTTCTCTTCAAGCTTTAGCAACGACGTACAGAATATGAATCAGTATTTTGCTTTCTTTCCCATCCATCTTATGAGTTGTTAGCTTGATAAAAATTTTTCGGAATGTGCTGGGGTCAGAAAATTAACTTGCAGCATTTAGGTGATGTCTTAAAAGCGATGTCAAATGTCTTTGAAATGAATGTCAGATGGTTTGTAGAACAGCAAGACATTATCCATTTCATCCACTGACACCATGTTTCTGACGTCCACTGCATGGTCACAGTGCTGATGCTCAGAGAGATCACAATGCCGGTCAAAACCAGACCAGACATTTCATTGTTTGTCAGGATTGCTAGACTGTCAAAATCTTTTTTTTATTTAGTTTTCGTTAAAAGGGGTAATTCACCTCTGTGGCCAAGTACGGGCAGACTAGACTTGGCAAATAAACCTTTTAAGGTGCCAGTTTGTGACGTCTCCAAAAGTAACAAAGCTAAGGCAAAATTCCTTCTGGCCATCTCTTCCAAACTTGACTACTAACCTTACACATTTTAATTACACTTGGGACTTATTCTACCACTACCTTTTATCTTCTTTGGGGATCGACGTGTAAAGCATTAATGCCCAATTCAGTGTTCCAGACATGGCTTCATCACTCTTAAGCAAATTTTGGCTACGTTCCTGGCAGCCTTCTGTTTGGTGTCTCTCTTTTACTACTTTTCTATTTTGTTTCTCTAGTTTGGACCTAGAAACCATCTACTGTACATATTTCATAAGCCATAAACCTGAGTACGTTTGAAAATTTAAAGTTGGAAAAAAAAATGATATGTGCCCCTTAAACCTAACAGCAAACATAATTCAGAAACACCTTTAGAAAGTCTTTCAACGTATCCAGTAACCAAATGTATATAATATATTGTAAATAAGGCAGGAAAAAATAACCAAAAAACCCAAAACTCTCAGTTACAGAGATAAACAAATGATTCGTTTGCATGGAAAAGTAAGATCAACCAACCAATGCATCATTGAGGTTAAAGTTTTTAAGGCTATGAGTAAAAGAGATTTAAATTGATGTATAAAAAATCCCAGCATGTAAAAGGAACAGTCATGTTCATCTGTTCTTATATATATATATATATATATATATATATATATATATATATATAACAAAATAAAACAAAATATGACTGCTTACAAATAGGTTATTTTTAAAGGTAAAAATTTCAGTTTCATTTTGAAATGTTAAAGATAAAAAAATAACAAATGTACTTTGACAACTATTTGATCACAGTTTCAGAATTTTAATGAGCTTCTCAAAGATAAACAGGAAACCACACTGAAAACCGAATCTAGTCCGAAGAACAACTTAATGCCGTTTTGAAAACTCCTCTGCTGTTCTGCTCAGGTGGTGTTTGATGTGCTTTCCTGATCAAAGCTGATGTTTTGTTTTTTTTGTTGTTGTTTTTTTTCCTGAAGGAGCTGGTATATTTTTGCACGAACCTGTCTGTTTGGCAAAGTAAACAAAAAAAAAAAAAGATGAATCCAGAGACTAAACAATCCCTACAGATTGATATGTAATATGCATGATGAAGAGTGTTTCATCTCTTGGTAACTGCTGTATGCTTTTGTGAAATAGAGTTTCAATCACCTCAGTGCTTTCTGATGCACTTTCTCAGTTGAGGTATGTAAACTAGCGCTGCGAGGAATTTAAACGAGCTGAATTAGTATGAAACTGGAAATAACGGCTTTGAAGCCTTTTGATTGATTTTTATTCCTATTATTTTGTAAAATCTTTGAAAAGGAAAAAAAGAAGCCAAATTTTAGAACATATTTGTGTGTTTTCTTTAAACTATTACATCAACTGCAAATCTAAAAAGCTAATTCAAAAGCTTAGAAGTGCTTAGCTGGATATTTTCTCAGGCTGCTTTGGTTTTTAATTTAATGACAAGAATGTCTGAATAAGTGGAAGAGTGCCTAATATTTTTGTACGTCATCCTTTGGGATGTAATGGCCTTCTGTTAAAGGGGGTACAAATTGGATATCAAAATAGTCTGTAAAATAAGGAGTAGCACACTTTTTGTAAACATTAGCTCTCAAATGATCAAAGACCATTGCTAATGTTGGAAAAATGACGGTTGATTAAACTGAAAATTGTTGTCAATTTAAAGCTGAGTTCAAATGTAGTTTGTTTGAAAAGATTTGTTGCTTTTCACACTTACTAGCACCCCATGTAAAGACTTGCCAAAATCTTTAACCTGAATTTATTAAGATTGCAGAATAATTATACACACGCGCAGTCATGGTTTTATCTCTTGTGGGGACTTCACATTGACTTCCATTAATTTCTACAGTCTAACCACCTAACCATCCCATACCTAACCTTTACCTTAACCTTTACCCTAAACCTAACCATCACAGACCTCACCACGAACGCAAAAACAAGAAAATGTCCCCACAAGGAGCAATAGTCCTCATAACCCCACATTGTGGACAGAAATAGGTCCCCATAAGGATATAAAAACCTGGTATATACACACACACAACCCCAGTATTAGATTTAAGCATATTCATTCAGTAGCAAAATCTATCCTATGTTGATAAATTATTGGCACCATTTGAATTCCTGTAAAATAAACATAACTGACTCAATCTGGTAATTTAAACTTTGGTGTTTGTTAATTCATAAGAGCTTCCAAAACGTCTATCCACAACATGTGGTCAGTTTCCATTAACCACTCCTCAGTTGTCTTAGGATGTCATCAAAGTAAAAAATTTTTTAAATAAGTCACAGTTACAGGACTACGGTAAAGACTGTTGGCTGGAGGTCATTAAAACCTCTAAACCCAAATTTATTATAATCATTTATTATTCAGTATAGCTTTACTAGGGGTGCTGATAATTGTGGAGAGCACTGTGCATATGAAAAACATTTGTAGCTATACATATATTATAGCTAAGTTGGAGTTTAACGGGCAAAATTTAAAAAATACTCAAATTTATTGTGAAACAGCATCAGAACACAATTTTTAAGAATCTCTTTAATTAAATGATTGTAACTTGCTCACGTCCAGCCATTACCATAATTTAAAAGCACTTTAGTAATCAAACTGTTAATGTAGCTCAGTTAAACCTTTGACCGACTGTACTTGGTGAGGAATATCTTTTCAGCAACCTGCCAGCAGCACAGAGGAATCTGATCGGCTTCAGCTCCAGAATTTAGGCATATAAAATCTGTGGACTACAAGAAAGCATTGAAAACACAGGTAAAGGAAAAATTACCTACTGTCAAACAACCACCGTGAGATATATAGTTCAACATAAATATGAAAATAGAATCGAAAAGATAGACATGTTCAGAGTGAAGTATTAAAATAATTGTCAAAGTTTCTTAGAAAATGCCATGTTTCCCAGGAGAAACTGTTTTGAAAAAACATCACAAAAATGTCATGACGCCACAAATAAACTCTTTAAAAATGCTTTTTGGGATTCAAAGAGTGAAAAGTGTTCCTCCGACCATCCACTTAAAAATGCCGCATTGAACGAGGCAAGTATGTTTTACCACATCGGGTAGAATGTAGGCTGTGTCTGTCCTATACAGTAGTTACTGAGAGGAAGGCATTATGCACCTTTGCTCCCTCGGGGGCTTTAGTGCCGTGTGTCATCAGCTCCTGGATGGTCATCCAATTGTCCAAAATCTTCTTATTGCGTTTCTTCAGCATCTTCTTGTGGCTGAGCTCTATAATACTGACTTCCTTTCGACCTTCGTTGCTGCTCTGAGGGTTCTCCTTCAAGCTTTCCAGCCGACTGCGCTGCATGAATTCTCGTCTTCTCCTCTGTTCTTTTGCCCTGACCAGGTGCTGTTTCCTTTCCTCTTTACTCCAGTACCTCCCCATCTTCATCTCACTCATCGCATCGTCATCCGTCGTCATCCCACCGCTGCGTTCCTCTTTAATCTTCAAGGCCCGCTCCCTCAGGATCTTGTCTCTCACAGGCCTCTTGGTGATGTAACGGGTGCCATCGCTGCGGATCTTGACTTTCCACTCCATCTTGGGTTCATTAATGGGTCTTTGAGGCTCTTTGCAGACACTAAGCAGGCTGAGCTGGCTCTGAGCGTACTCAACAGCTGAACGCTGCTGGATCAGCTGCATGTAGCTCTGGTAGTGGCGAGCATGGGCTGGAATGTTGGCCTGCCTCTGCTGGGAACTATGGGAAGGAGAGAAGTAAGGAATCCGGGAAGTGCATTGTTTTAACTTTCTTTTACCCTCCTCCTCAGCCTGAAGTGTCTGATCTGACTCTGAAGGGTTACTGTGGTCGGGGCTGCTGCTTTTGCCCAGAACGGGGGTTCTGCAGGTCGGTAAGGGGCTCGGGCTTGGTGAGTGACCGGTAGCAAAGCCGCCATAGAGGTTCCTCTGGTTGGTGAGACTGACCATTCTCTGGAGAGAGTGCTCTGGGGAGCGGTCCATCGCCAAGGGCGTGCTCCGAGAACTCTCGGCAGTGTTGTAGGCACTGGAGCTGTCCTTGTCAGACTTTTCCATCCTCTCATTAATGTCACCCAGCTTACCCTTAACAGACTCTCCATGTAGGGGGCTTTGACTTTTGATGGAGGGTGCAGAAAGTCCCATCAAGGGAGATTGCTGACTCTTGCGCAGCTTATGGGCCTGCATAATGTTCTGACACTCAAGTTCAATACTGCGTAGCTCCTCATTTAGCATACGCAGCTCATGTTGCACATCGTTTTGTTCCGCCATGCTGCACTCAATAGTACTGCGGCGGCTGTAGAAAAGGTCGTACTCGCCGCTGTTGCGTATCTGACATTTTAGCTCCAAAAGTTGCTGGAAACGATCTCCCTCTGACTCATCATTGTCCTCATCGTCTTTGTCCTCCAGTCGCTTGCTACCACTGGTACAATGGGAGTCCTGACTGTCCCGTAGACACCGGGACAGGCGTCTCTGGATTTGGGCTAAGACGTTGTGGTCTGAGTTTTCCTTTCTCTCTTTCAGACTTTGCAGGCTATCTTTTGAGTAAGAAAATGTTGAACAGGAAGGCTTGTCATCTTCGGATCTCTGATAAAGGATAAAGAAAAAATACCTTTAGCAAAAACAATCTTAGGTCTAGATATTGGTTACTTTTGCACTGTCTCTGATTATGTTAGCTACAAACTTACCTGTAAATAAATATTATGACATGAAACATGAATTAGTGAGCTTGACCTGAAAAGCTGCATAGGATCAATCTGGGTTTCTTTCATATCATATGGACTTTTTACGTTAAAATGTGCAGTGAGACAAAAGGCACAAATCTGATTCTGTGCATTTTTCCTACTCTGCACACTACAGGCAGCTCTCAGTGTAGGAGAGTGTTGCAATAAGTTCAGCTGAATCACTATTACTTAAACTTTATGACATTCACAACAAAAACTAGTCTGCAACAGAAAAAATGCACATTGGAAGAAAAATCACTGAGGAAGGAATAAAGAGGAAGCCTGCTAACACTTGTGGGGTGTTTTACAAGGAAATTGCCAGAAAGACGCTTTTGCTGTAAAAGCATGAACATGTTAATGTTTATAATATGTTTCTGTTTTCCCTAACTAGTGTTAGTTGGGAACTAGATAATACAGAAATGGCTCTGATCAACTGTAGCTCATTCACAGTCTTCCCAGTATTTATCCAACTTATTGTTAAGATAGCAGATCATAACCTTCACTAACTTAACTTGATGAGACAGACTGGATTTTGCACCATTTACTGTAACAGATTGAATTGTCTCTTTCTTTCTTCTTAGCGCAAAAATGAACCCATAGTTCATATGCACTGGTTCGGTCCATCTGAAATTAGATATTTTAATATGTTCTGGTGAGATCAGAAGTCACCGGTTAATCTGCTGATGGAGGAATCGGTTTAATATATTCCATATAAATTATGAATGATTTCGCCATTATTTTCTTCATTCCAGTTTTTGTCTATCAAGCATCAAGTTATGTATATGTAATAAAAAATTTATCAACTAAGACAATGACAAATATCTTTTTTTTTTACTGTTTTATACATAAAAAGTACATTTTTACATTTTAAAACATGCAGGATGTTTGTTTTCAAAGATTTATTAAAGGAGGGAGATGATCGGTTAGTACAAACTTGCATCGCTTTCTTCACTCGTGTAGTCAGTGTAAACTTATTCTACACCTTCCCAATGGACACAAGTTTTTTTTTTTTTTGTGCGTGCATGTGAAAGAGAGCTCATGCCTTTACGGCTCATGCTTTGGGGATCGTCTTGTTTCTGCCACGTCTTTGAAGTTTCATTTGCATGGATTTTCAACGAATGCTCTCGTCCCACAAAAAGAGAATTTTAGATTATGATTATTAATGTTTGGAATTTAAATGGTTCAGTAGTCCCACTTCATAAATATTCATTCAAATTAGCTTTTTTTTCCCATTCAAGGGACAAAGCCTGTTTTCACCCATCCAAAAAAAAAAAAAAAAAGTCATGGTAGAATTCATAGTCGTTTTACACTAACTGCATCAATCTCTTTTTCTAGAGGTGGTTTATTCTGCTGAACCAACTAAAGCCTCTTGTGTAGCAAATTAATTTCAGGAAATTTTGAAATAAACTGTTGGACAAACACATGCATTGCCTCCGACCTGCTGCTTTTCCTGTTCTTCTTGTAAGGCAGCTAATTCCATCTCCTCTCTCCGCTGCTCCTCCAACATTTCCATCTTCAGCTGCTCCAGGAACTCGCTATGCTCATCATCCAGCCAAGCCTCTTCCAGCTGGGGGTGGAAGCATAAGGAAAGCACATAGTGGAGAAACATTGGTGGGGTGTGGGTGGGTGGGTGATGGGGATCAGAGAAAAAAAGCAAAAAAAAGAAGGGGAAAAGGATGATTTTTCACTGTCCAATGCCTGTGACAATACAGTGCCTTAAAACAAATAGCTGGATTTTCCAAATGGGTGCACAAATGGGATTTCCTGAAAAATGCCCCTGCGTGGGTTTAAAATCGGAAACCGCAGCTGTGTTTGATATTTAGCTTCTGTTTCCAACAAAAAAAGTGCTGATCTTTCAACTGCACCAATACAGTCTGATGGGCGTAAAACCACAGTTTTTGACCTTTTACCTTTGCGTCATCCATCAAGCTGTTTGATCTGAGCCGAATGGTATCCATATCTGATTACGCCACATTTACTACTGGAGGAGTCACTTAATTACAAAGAGCCTACTAGTGCTTTTCCTGCTCATCTGCACTGCGGCAGAGTTCTACTACTTACTCGTCCCTGGCCTTGGGCCTGAACTCACTCCACATTAGCATGCCATTAGCTTTTATGGCTTACCATTGGAAGTCAATTACAGTGGCGCTACATAAAAATAAAACATGATGAGGTGTCCCAGCGGTGGCTTCCACCAGGAGAAGTTGTGTGCTTGGTGGGAAGCGGGGGCTGGTTGGCCATCCGGGAATGGTAAAGCTTGCTCTGAGCAAATAATGCTAATGGAAAACCTCGTAGTTGTATTTCATAAAATGGTTGCCTTTAAGTCAGCTGTCACTTGGGTATAAGAGTGTAGTGATTCTAACCTGCATCTCAGGTCGGGCGACCAGTAGTACGATGTTCCTGAAGTCATCACTGGAGAGAGCAGCCATTGCTTCTTCTCTGTCTTGAACATCATTGCCGTTTATCTGCAGACGGAAGAACAAAAAAGATAAATAAATGAAAGATTACCACAAGAGCAAGGTTAACAGACAAGCAAGAATGCACATCCACAAACACACAAACCAATAAAAATAAAAATGAACTGCCCAAAAAGGACGTTATCTTCTTGAGGAGAGAGTAAATGCTGGCTGCTTCTCGAAAATACAAACCAGGAAGCAAGCTGTTATCATGAATTAGGTGGCAGAGTTGTAGCGTTCCACAGCATACACGAATCCAGCCATACAATTAGCCGACCACTGACATGTGGATTCCATTTTTTTCCCTTGCCCTGAGAATAATGGTCCTGTCAGCAGCGGATAATGGGGCAGGAGTACTGGTCCGATCACAAACATGTGCACATGCCTCATCCTGGCTAAAATCAGGCGCACAACTCATACTAGATTCAACTGGGCAATTGCCTCAGTAATGGTTTTGCATCCAGCTCTCGCATACTTTGTGCAATTCAGTTCTCTGTGCATTTGTCATCAAGGTTTCTCAAAACACAGAGGTGCATTTGCATAAAAGAATATATATCATTTTGCTCTTAGTGGTGATGCTCAACCAAATACCAGTTAATAATGTGTTCTGTTGTGCTATTTACTTCATAGCTCCATTATTTGCTTCATTGTTCCACCAAATCAATATTTGGTGGAATAACCAGGAGGTTTTCAATGGGGTTCAGTGCAGTGGACTGTTAGTTTTTTCAAGAGCTGTGTATTGTGTTGTTTTCATAATTCTTCACACTTGATCTAATAAAATGATTCAAATGCATTATTCTTAATGGGGTTACTTACTGCTACTTCACCATTGCTTAAAAGCTTTACATTCCACCAGAATATATGGTTTATATATTTTGCTATTGATTAATCGTGTGTATCCTGAATTATTTAAGCAATTTTAAAGAGAGTTCGCATCTTCATGGGAAGTAGAGGTGTATTTTCCCTTCCTTCAAATTATTTCCACTGAACACACAGAGGTTGAAAGCGAAGTCATTTCGTGACAAGACCGAATGCATCAACAGAACTGAACCGCAAGTCACCCTGAAGACGCAGCAGAGCACAAAGCCTGAATAGATTTAAAGTGCTGCCATAAACTAAATGTTGTGTTTAGCAAGTTATGTGGGCAGTCAGAGAGCCTGGATGCATTAATTAAGGCCGACGAGTATCTGAGTCGTCGGATGCGAGAATCAGAGGGATGAAAAACAGTAATTAAAGCACAACGTAACCGTATCTGTTCAAAACACAAACATGCACTTATCAGAACACCAAAAAGGTTCTAATTGTTTGAGTTCCTCTTATGACAGAAGTGAGAGAAGTCAAACTAAAATCCTTAATGAACTCCTTACAATAAAACAGGATGCAATCAGTCCCTTCCTATTGTAATCGTCGCAGAGAGCAGCATTACACCAGAAGGCCTGACAAATGCTGCTGGTGATGCTCACTGCTCTCAGCACTGAAGATGAAGTTAGAGGCTAATGGCAGTCACAGCCTCTGAGCCATCACACAGGAGGCAACGAGCTGCAACACAGCGCCGTCCTGAAGCAGAACCCTTAAAAAAATAAATAAAAGAACGCCCCTGTTGCTGCTGAGTCGGTAACTAAAACAGCCAGGGGGGCATTTCTTCCCCCTTAACAGTCACAGCGGGGGCAAGTTCCCACTGTAATGTGCTGCCATTAAGAATAAATGTGCTCTCTTGAGGGAAGACACTGGCTCAGTAAAACAAGACAACACAAGAATCCTTTTGTTAAGCCAAAGATGGACTGGTGTGGAGGTGTTTGGTGACGGAGTCGAATGCTGCACCTGTAAGATTCGATCCCCTTCTCGGATCCGCCCGTCTCTGGCGGCAATGCTGTTTGGACTAACCTGCACATCAAACAAAAAATGACTTTAGACAGAATGCTTGGGAGAAACAGGGAGGATATTATTTGTAATATTCTAGTTTGTAGAATTGCTTCATAGCGTCTAGGGGAGGCGTCAGACCTAAGCACTGGTCTTGGGTCAGATTTTTGATCTTTTTTTAAATCTATTGAAAACACAATATTTACCACTGGAGTTGTTGTGACTGTTTCGCTCTTTTGTTTGTCTCTTTCCCTTGAAGCATCTTCAAAGGCCGTCTCTGGTGTTTAGGCTCACTGCAGCACACAATGCGCTTGCTCTTCTCGGAAATAATGGTTGCCAACAAGGGGGCAGGAAACTCTTCTCTCGCCCTATAACCAGCTATTTGAGGCAATTTGTTTCACTTCCTCCAATCAGACTGCAACTCTGAGGCGGCTGTGGAAGTAAGACACTCCATCTTCATGATAGTTCCCTCCCACACGGAGAAACGCTCATTAAACCAGAAGCAACATTCTGAGAAAGGAATCACTGGAAGACTGGAACCGAAAGGCGATACGGTGCCTTGCAATGGTTTCCATATGACTTTGGATTCTTCAGATATTATTGGACGTTTTGGGAAAAAAAATCAAAAAATCTGAAAACGGTCTGACATGCATTTGTTATTAGTGGATGTCAGTAGCGAGCAGAGGAAGGTGGCGCTATTGGTAAGACCAACAAGTAGCATCACATTTTAATCCCAGGTTAAATTCAGCTGTTCTCTCAAGACCCCTTAGGGTTGTTGCAGAACATCAGTGATAAAAACAGCATCATGAGCACAGATACTGACGCATGGTGCTCCTGGCGGCAGCATCATGCTGTTGGGAAGCTGGTCAGAGTTGATTGGAAAACGTTCACCTTCCAGCAGGCTGACGCTATCCAGAACTTTACTGAAATAGTCTCGGTATATTTAAAAAATATAATAATGATTGAAAGTTTAATTTGTTCCAGTAACTTAATTCACTAAGTGTAACACAGTATATAGATGAGACTGTTGTTTCCAAGTCTTTGTTTCTGTTAAATATGGTGAATTTTCTGATTACAGTTGATGAAAACAAAACATTTGAAACTAGAATATCACATTAGATTGATAAACAAGATTTAATGCAGAAATATGGGCTTAATGAAAAGTATATTCAATACCTGGGAACTTTTGTAATAATAACATGTATTACATTTTCTGGGAGTTATATGAAAAATGAAAGATGCAAAGCCTATGAATATCTTGGCATGACACTGTAACTAGAAGATGGGAGTTGAGAGGCTTTTTTCCAAAGAGTTGCCTTTGTAAAAAAGAAATACAATAAAGTTATTGATTCTATTACTTAGTAATTGATTAATAAATAACCAAAGTTGTAAGTTCTGTTATTAAGTAAAAACTTTTTATCACTGGCTTCTTTTCCTTATCAAAGAACAGACTGTGTAATATTTTCCACCATCCTGTAGACATTCAGTCAGCTCATCTGAATGCAGCACTGTCCTTATATTACTTTTTTTTTTTTTTTTTTTTTTTACAAAATAAACACATATATTGCTGTCAAAAACCAAAGTGGGTTGAGATTTATATTCAGCTCAGCTCTCAAAGCCAACACCTTGCATGGTTGGAGAAATCTTCAAATGAAGCCGTGTAGGAGGTTGAGGAGAACTGTGAACAGTATTTGAAAAGAAAAAAAAAAGAAAAAAAAGTTATACAAAAACAGAGAACAAGTCATTTTTTTATGTGCGTCAGAGCCGTCTTGTTTTCTGAGGTTAGCCGAATAACAAACTCCACTACAAAAAAAACATCCTTGCTTTATTTTTTTATGTTTTTTTTTTATGCCTTTCTTTGCTTGGTGGTCATCTCATCTTGGCAGCTGACAGCAGAATCACACAAGTTAGATCATCTGTTTGGGTAATGTAATCTGTGTCTGATGAGAGTTCAATTTTGAAGTACCGCAAGCAATAAATAGACCCGCTTTTCTCACATGAATACTAAAGTAAATCATAAATTGGTGGATGAATATGAAATGTCACATCTGATTCAGGCTGAGAAGCACAACATTGCACTGGGGTCCTCTGATCTGGATAGATGATTGTGGGTTTCTACAACAGAGTTTAATATGTAAATGAGAAACTTCAAAGAAATGAGATATTCCTGGAATATGCATAGAGATTTTGCCTTGAGAGGTTTAATATTTTTATTTTTCAAACAGCTAGCAATCAAAACTTTAGCATTTAGGAGAAAATCAGCAACAGGGAGTCAGAGGATTTATTTGTCCACATTGTTTTTATGTGAAGAAAACCTACTTTGGGTAAGACAACGTGTCTATAGTATACCCTCACTTCTCACCTGTTTACCCCTGAAGATAGGCACTAATCTTTCCCAACTCTGCGGGAATGGATGGATGGATCCGATTGCTTAGCTCTATCATTTTCTACTACCTTAGGAGGTAATTCCCACTTTGACTCAGAGGTCTCCCGTTCATATTCCACATGCATTGCTTTGCTGATCTAACATCCTGCTGTGAGATGCTCAATTGTCTCTGGATTCTCTTCATACAGCCTGCACCAGATATCTTGATACCTCAATGCTAAGGTTCTCAAGGTCTGCACCTGTGCTGCAAGGATTAGTGTTTGCTGTCTTTCAGACATGTGCAGGTTATTTCAGTCACTTCAGCTATTTCTCTGTGGTACTTCCTTCTCCGGGCATCAAAAACGTCCAAACTCCAGATTTTAGGGGTCAATGTCCTGCAGCCTTTTGGGTGCTTCCCAAATACAACACCCTTAGATCAAAGGACTCAATTATCTCCTTGTGCACTCAAGTTTTATGCAGAACAGCAGAGGGGAACAGAGCAGCTCTTTGGTATATGTCACGTTTGATTGAGAGTTGCACAATTGGCTGGAAGTTGGCATCGAGGATGGATCCCACAGTTTCATGGAGGTTGCAACAAAAGCTCTCGGAGTGTTATTAACCTTGAACAGTTTCATTCAATCCAGGATCCATGTGTGTGGAATTGAGTTTAGGTTGTCTTATAATCAATCCAGGCAGGGCACGGATTTGTTTTTCTGGTTTTGCAGTCTCAGGCGATTGTTTTGTTAACCAACAGCTGAGGTTTCGCTCTTCTGGTACATTTTCCAAAGCCTTTTTGTGTCTCTGATATTTATTGATTTAATTCATGCACAATGTTTTCAGCTATTTTACAATAATTCAAAGGGAGCTATTAAATAGATGCTGTTTACATTTGCACTAATGATCGCCTTTAAATGTCTGTAAATCATGTACTAACCTCACTGACATAGATGGCCACATCCTCTTCTTCATCCGTTCGATAGCATAGAGTGAGGCCTAGTTTTTCATGACAGCTGAGACGACAAAGTTCGACTTCCTACAAAGGGAAAGAGAAGAATACAGTATCTTAAAACGGCAAGAAAACTGCTGGGGTGAGTGGTTGAAACCTTAAACAAAACTTCAGAATAATCTTGAGGCACAGCAAACAAAAGCGACACACAAACAGCTTTAGATTTATACAACCTGCTTCGGATAAGTTATGAAACTTGATTATTTACGGACGTTAATCTTTATCCTTTCCTTTACCCTCACGAAAAGGTTCTCCGTCATTAAGCCACTTTAGTCCAACTCTGCGCTTTCACTTCGACCACAACAGGAGATGAAGCCAAACACCCAACAGCACCAGCCCCTGTCCCATTTCCTAACCCCTGAAACCTATCAAGGGTGTTTGAGGGAATCAAGTGTGAAATGGCCTTCCCTCCCAAGGTCTTCATTAGAGCAGAAACACATCTCTCAGCAGCAGGAGCGAAGTGGTTGAGTGGAGAGGAGGATGGAGCGGGGCAGAGAGAAATGAGGTGGCTGTGAGGACTCTGGCAGGACTCACAGGGGTCTCGTATAAAAAGAAAGAGATCCATTTTGTCTGTGACAAGTGCAGGTTGGCTGGTTATGTGTGGTAGATGTGGCATGGCTTTAGGTATGCGAAGGGGGAAGGGATGAGACGACGGACAGAAAGAGGAAAAGGCCAACACTGTTTTGGACTTTGCTTTTTTGTGCTTTAAGACCCGCTGGCTTCTCAGAAACAAGCCGGAGTATAATTTTTGTATCCTCTTTTATGTCTGTCCAACATAAGTGTGTTTAACAGGTCAATCTCAGGAAATAGAATGACATAAAAAGTTATTTCAGCAACTCAATAAAAAATAAAAAATAATAAAAAATCACGTTCAATCAATTAGAATGTGAGTTCCAAGAGTTGCTCCTTAGAATAAAAGTACTTCTTGAAATCTTTAATCAGGTAGTCAACATAATGTTCATGATTTGGTGTAATAATCAAAATTTTTAGTATGGACAGGCAAAAAAAAAAAATCTTAATGACACAAATAAAGGCTTGACTATATGAATATTTATCTGTAGAATGTGTTTCACTAAGTGAACTGATTTATTTAAATCAACAAATGAACTTTGCAATATTGTAACTTATGATTTTTACTGTAAGTGGATTAGACAATGATGCAATCCCAAAGGAATATGCAATATGGTTTCATGCAATTTTATCATTGCATAAAACCAAAAATAAAAGTCATTTCACCACAGAAAAATGGCCTCACAAAAAAGTATGTAAATTACATCAAATTCAGCACTTGCATGGTACTTTCCATGAATTATTTCATCAATGCATCTTAACATAAGGAACACAGCAGTTATGGCCAATGTCCTTGTTATGTATCCGTTATGGGTCTTGAAATGCCTTGTAAATCTGAAATAAAACTCTTAAGTAGCCTTTGTCTCCACAATCTTTCTGAAGGTTGCAACGTTCCCTCTTGCTTCCGTACGTTTTTACTGCCACATATTTTCCTTCCACTCAACTTTCCACTGATGTGCACTCTTTAAACACCCAGCTTCTTTAGTAGTAGCCATTAAATGTAGGTACTCAAAGAACACAAATACAACTTATAGATAAAAAACTAATATTGTAATAAAAACTAGAGATATACATATACAAGTTTTTCTTTTTCAAGTTAACTTTTTGATTATATTTCTAAATAGTTTAGATCCACCTGCGCATTTTCACACAGGCGCACAACTAGATCTCTCAGGTGTTTTTTGCATTAGGTTCCAGCAGCTGCACACTCCACTGCAGATACTCAACCTCCAAACTAAATCTGAGCGCAAACACAAACCCTCGGTTCTGGTGTGCTCCAAAAAGCATTGCACATTTCGAAACAAACAAACGATGCCATCTGGCTGTCGTTTGTCATTTCATAATTTCTGATGTGCCTCTGATCGAAGGACAACTTTGATAGACATGGTCAGACCTTCGAGTGAATGAGAAATGGATAAGGACAACTGCATGTGATGCATTCTGGCTGAGCAGATCAGGCCTAAAACAAATGTGTCATTAATTTCATCAAAGAGGTTTCAAACTGATGGCGTTGGTAGGGAGATTATTAATGAATGCTCCAGAAGCACTGAGGTTGTCGCCGATGTAACTGGAGGTATGTGCTTGGCACACCGTGCATGTTAGCATGATGTGTGAAGTTGAGGGAAATCAGAGGGAGATACTGAAATCACTTGCAATCTCTCAGAGAGGTCTTTAAAAATAAACTCACACAAATTGCCTGTTTGTTGTAAGGCAACTGGGAGGTGCGAGCAGGTGCAGCATGATTTCCTTCTGCAAAACAAGACCAAAGTTACTTATGACTAATTAATGACTGGATGTGGTGTAGGAGACCTGCGACAAGAAGATCGCGGGAAACAGACTGCTGCTATTCCCATAGTCTGTGTGTATTTAACAATGTGATCTCTTCTTCTCCATCAGATGCTTTTGAGCTCTTTTTTTTTTTACTTTAAGAAAAATTTGCGTGGAAAAGAAAAACACCCACTCACTCAGATGCTTCTGTAAAAGGTGCCTGCCTCTGAACCATCAAAAACACCTCCTCCAATATGTTGCCTCTTTGATTTTTTTTTCTCCCCTCCTTTCTCTGTTTCCTAGCCGAGCTTTCTGCCTCTCAGACGGGAGATTGCGGGACGAGGGCCGACAGTAGATTAATGGCTGTGATGGTGTGATTAAGAGGAAGATTGCTGGCCACCATCAAAGCACATCTGATGCTGTCGCGCCTTTGATTACTGGTAATTGAAAAAGCAGTTGCCAAATGCGTTGATGGCTACTACTGGCAGAGACAGAGAGAGAGAGAGATAAAGAGAGAGAGGGAGTGAGAGACAGGGACGGATGTTTCCGAGCTCAGCGTGCTTCCTCTGAACTCACCAAAACTAATCAAGGGGACGGTTACTAACATGGTTCAGCACCGACACGCATCGAGGAGCTTTCTTGGAAATGTATGATGTTAGGCTGTGAAATTGTAGTAATAAGAGGCAGCCGACAAACTTCCGCCAATCTGAAGGGAGAGCAAAGAGTTTATATCCTCCTGTTGGGAGATCCAACAAGAAAATTAAATTAGAACGACAGTGTCTCTAAAAAGTGTTCAACCCCTTGGATGTTTTGCTCTTATTGTTGCTTTTGCCAAGCAGTCAAGATGAACAAGATTTGGCTTTTTTGACAAAGAAAAAAAAATTACAAACACATTGAAAACCGGAAAAACTACAAAATAATTTCTACAAAATAATGACCATGAAACAAAAATATTTAACATCTAATAATTTCGTAAATGACTGCATAAATATTCACCCATTTAAAACTGACTGACCTAATTCAACAAAGGTCTAGTCAATTCACGTTCCACAGGCATATTATTCCACTTATAACAAGATATTTTTCTCAAACTACATCTGAAAAATCTGCCAGTGATTTTAAAATGAATAATAACAAATTATTAGTTCCAAATAAGCTCTTATATCTTGTTGAAAAATTACTTGCAAGTCAATTTTGTCTTATTTCAAGTGTAGTTTTTTTTGGGCTAGAAACTGGCCAATAAAAAATACTTGGTTAGGTTTTGTGTTTTCGCAGTGGAAGAGCTCTTTCATCTAATATGAAACAGGTTGTTGCAAAGGCACATGACAGAGTTGTGTTCTGGCCAAATTTAGCTGCGCACTAAAGAAACGAATGAGGTCGGAAATCGAATCCTCACGAAAAATAAGTCAGTTGTCCCAACGTTAAGCTCATGTCTGTCACAACAAGAATTCGAGCATCTGCAGCCATGTTTAATTTCCCCAAACTGTATAATCCACCCTTGAAGTGATATAAAACAGCACTCCAGCTTTTTAGCGCGTGATAATCCCTTCAGTCAACCAGCCGTCTTGGCTCTCTTTTCACGTCGCCTTCATATTTCATCCAACTGGCTCACATTAACGCTGCTTTTTACAGTGCCTTAATGCAGGGATGTTTTCTAAATGGGCTCATTACTGAGTGCAACACCGTTCGCATGATTTGTAGCCACTTGATAGACTTTTAAAAGAAAAGTATCGACTGCGGTAGCTGTAAATGTGCGTAAACAGAACATCCATGCAACTCGTCCATCTGACATTTGCATACACGGCGCAGTCCCTACAGTCCAAACACAAGCAGACATATTCTCTTCTCCTGAATGTGTGCGCAGCCTCCACAGAGAGCATTGTATGTTACACTGCTACATAAAGTTACCCCAGGAATATCCCAACATTATTAACTTCCGATTCCAGTGAATCAGATTTCGATATTTTTTCTCTTAGATGTTGGCAAAGTGCTCTCTCCCGCAGCATTTACACCCAGCAAAGGCAATTTTTCTTGCATCTCTCCTTCAGCAGAAATCTGTTCCATTCAGAAAGAGGCTTTTCAGCTTCGCCTCCATCGCCTCCATCCCCCTCACAGCATTTTGAGCTGTCATATAGCAAGTGGAGCTGCATTAGGGTGCTATAACCCCCACAGATCATGCATGAAACTATGAAGCCTGCTAAGCATGCACATTGTAAAAAAGAATTTTTTTTGATAGCAATGAGGCATAAACAGATGCTTTAATGTGTTATATATTTTGGATTTTGACATTGGGGGCCTCAGCGATCCAAGCGCGTGTACAAATCTGTTTAGGATTTGAAGAGACAGCTCAAGCTCGATGGCTTGAAGCGTTCTGAACAAATTCAAATTGAACACATAGAGGGAGGGACAGCTGAGCAATCATCATACATCAGAGCAGTCGGAGGCATGGCGCTGTCTGCTCGCACGTCAGTAACTTGGGAATAAAGAGAATTGGACTCCAGCGGCAAGCTGAGACAGTGTGTGTTGATCCCTTCCTGTCATATGGAAGATATGGATGGAAAATAGGAGTCAGAGACCATAAGTCATATAAACCTTGGATTTGTTCGATAAACAGCAGCACATATACCTGCAGCATTCAGTTATAACTACCAAGGACTGATCAAAGTCACAGGCAAATCATAAAGCTATTTGTCAGTGTACAAATGTGTTTAGGTCAGAATACACACATCTTTATTCAGAAACCACAAGCAAGACCTTCTGCTGACATAGTTTTACCAAGTAGGTAATGATTTCCTGACCATTTGCATGTTGGTAAGTTGATATTTTCACGAGATACAGCACAAGCATTTAGTGGTAAACCCATTCATATTTATGAATACCCATATGAATTACAACCAGAGAAAAATTGTGTCACATTGTCAAACTTCCGAGATGCCCTCTGAAGTTTGGTGATAATTCTAGCACAGAAGATAATCACAAAGGTTGCTGCTTGGGCTGGTGAACAATACTCATACATAAGAAAGAACACACAAAAAAGAAACTGTGTTTTGGAAAAACTGTAAGAGAATATTGATGTTCGCTGCCTGATAATAACAAAGTTAGCATCTGATTTGATTCTACTACTACTTCACTAATTTTAAGGGCTATTTCATTGGGTTTCAGAATCCCATTGATTATTTCTGAAAAAAAAATACTGCAAATGCAAAGACACAAGTTGGAACAAATTTGATCTCCAGTTGTGCTGAAGTTGCTGAAAGTGCTGCGCTAATATGTAGCTCTTTAAACATGTTTAATTTTCCTTTCATTATTTTATTCCTTCTTTATTTGGAGCTACTTTGTGTTGGTCTGTCACTATAAATCTAAAAAAACCCCCAAAAAACTGAAGTTTGGGGGCCACTGTGAAGTGTACAAAGTTACATTTGCTTTTGCAATTGTTTCTTAGTGAAATCACAACGCTCTTTAGCAGCCACGTCAGATTTCAGCTCTTACCTCGTACTCAAACTCCTCGGTTCTGTCTCCGTCAGCTGGGACGGGGGAGAGGTAGTCGGTACCTTCATAGTAATCTTGGTCCATTGTATGAAGGGAATGACAGCTGTCAGAGGAGAACGAGACGGTGGCGAGACAGAAAGGCAGCGAGAGACAAAAAAGACAGAGGTAGGTTAAGATTTTAACACTGGTGGGATAATTTTCCTTCATTTTCTTTCCAGACGCTACTCAAGCTCAAAGCCTCAAAGTGACAACATTTTGTCGCTTTTGTCTCAGCCGGAGAAGGCAGAATAAAAGATCTGTGGAAGGCTGTTCCTGAACGTGACAAAAGCGCAGCATCTTGTTAATAACAGCGTATCCACACTCTGCAATTTGCTTCATGCTCTTGACAGACAAACCCCCCCCAGACTGTATGGTGTAATTCTATTATCCCTCCTTCAGTCAATGAACAAAACACTACTCTAGCAGAACGTGTGGCCGCCACACAGCATAATGACTGCAGACAAATAATAACATAAGAAAAAAAGATGAATCTCTGAAACATGGCAAGTGATGTGTCCTGTTAAGACGCCAGCCTGTTTATTAAGTTGAAACCTATAAAAGTCTGAATTTTCCCTGCGGCAGTGGGAGAAAGCGTTATAAAAAAAACACACACATTACAATTACAATTTTACAATGTAGCCTCAACACATGACGCCAACTATATCTATAAAATCTATAAAGTCAGCTGTTTATTGGATGATGCACCTGAGCTCAGGAGCGGAGAAAGGAAATATCGGCTTTATGGGAAACATTGATTAAGTGTGGACTCGGCTGGTGGCTGTTGCTTTTAGTTGCTTTTTTTTTTTTTTAATTGGCCATTTATTTTAATCACCCTGTAAACCTTACCTGGGTTCAAATTGAACCTCTAAGCAGCCCCAATTATGGCCGGATGCCCCTCTGGGGAATTCCTCCTTTACGTTATGTACATAAATCCATAATGTTTTTGAGCAGCTCATGTATACTAGTGTTATAGCTCGCGCGCAGCGCTGATCATATTGCTGAATTTTATTGATCTTTTCACACAGATGGAGAATCCATCTGGGCTTTTATCTCTAGATATTCAACAAAGTCCCGGATTACAAATGATGACACACACGTGCGTTGAAAAGTTTATCGGGCTCGAAATTAATTATCTGCTAAGCCTGATGCAAATTAAACTGTAATTTTCCAGACTTCCTCCGCTTTCGTCTTGATGCGTTCCCTGGAGGTGAAACCTAGATATTCCTTTATTCTCAGTGTTCCTTTTTCACTGCGTTCTGCTCCTGTGAGGTGAACCAAACATGAGCTATTTTTAAAATTACAAAGCCCAAACATTGAATCAGTTTCTTTGTTGTTTATGAGGAAAAATCTCCTGTTGATACTTGAAGACGCCTTCACATTGTTCAGCTGTTAGTTAACAAATACAAAAGGACAAAATTTCGAGTAGTTGGACCCGACTTATTTTGTACTTAAAGGTTTCTTGTATGTTACAAACATGACAACGCAGACTGCTGAGCAACTGTCTTTTAATTAAACACATTTCTTGTTAGTTTGTGTGTCTTGTTGTTGAAGGAAGACGTGAAGGACATTAACAGACTCATTCCTCATGTAAATCTGTTTCCGTTAAAGTCCCACGGACAGCCCGTTATGTCATATATCTTAATTTCTCCCTATCTGTGATGCAAACACTGGTGTTTCTCCTTCATGGCTTGCTGATGCCTTTTCCTACTGTTTTCCGTTCTTAATTATAGGCAGTCACTGCCAAAGTCAAAACAAGGACACAACAATTTGTTTTTTTCTCCTCAGTCTGGCAGTCAACCAATTTTTTTTCACAACTGAATAAAAAATGAAATGAAACGTAAGTCAAAGTTATAATAAGAAATCGGTGAAGCTCTGTAAATGTGAGAAAAAAAGAGCTTTTCTTTAGTCGTTGCATAAATTAAGGAACAAAACAACAAAAAACAGACGGAGTGTGTTGCAAAACTATTCACTCCTCAAACACCTCCTCACATTTTGTCATGTCAAACCTGGAAACGTCAGTGTTTTAACAATTGGTCAATAGAGTGGATGACTGTGAAGTTGAAGAAGAAGAAAAAAAATTGGTTTGGATTTTTATTTTTTTTTTTACTGATAGAAATAAAAAGAATATTCCATATGTTTTACAGTACATGCTATAGCATGTACCATCTTTCACTGCAAGTCTTATAAGATATATCACTGACAGCTTTGCTCACATACAGACTGGGGTTATCGAACATTGCTCTTTACAAATAAGTTCAGGCTCAATTGTAGATTTTTCTTTATGTTTTCAGATCCTGATCCGAACAGTACTCCATAATGTTTCAAATGGCAGATTTTTGTTTTATAAGCTAATCGTGTTTTCAGCTTTCTCCCTGACCTGTCTGCTGTGCTCCTTGGTCTTTATGAAGCTGTTTGTTCACCGATATTCTCTAACAAAACTCAGAGGCCTTTGCAAAAAACGAGGAAAGAAAGACACCGGGTTAATACTGAGATCACATCACCCACACTGAGACTTAAATTACTAAATGGGTTATGTTTAAAGAAACTAGTTGCACCGGATTTTACAAAATTATGCTATTAGTCATTCCCTTCTATTGTGCAGGTTTGTCCTAAATTATATCAGCAAACCACATAAAATTCTAAACGAATTTAATGGAAATATGTTGTAAATATTTTTGCAAAGGCGCTGCAAAATTAAAACAAGCACCCACATGTCCACGGACACGACATACCTGTCAGAGAGCAGGAAAGGACAGACGTCAGGCACAGGAGGGGTTGAAGGCCGGAGCTTTGCCAGCGCCATGATGTGTTCAAAGGTGATGTCAGTCTGAGTGCACACATCCACCACATGGATTTCCTGAGGGGGGCCATGGGGGCGGCCGCTCGGGGTACGCCTGATGACCTGCACCACGACGGGGTCCCTGGCAGCTCGGAAGGCCTCCACAGTCTCATCGTGGCTGGATTTGGACAACTCCTTCCCATTCACCTGAAGGTGGAGGAGAAAAAGCCAAAAAAAAAGAAGCTTTCATTTTATGCCACACACGAGGTTGGAACCAAACTCTTTGTCAAGTGTGATTGAAGCATCTCTTTGAATCGTTTTCTCCACTAGAACTTTACAATTAGTCTCGTAAAGTATCATCAACGGACAACCAAATAGAAATCTTCACCTGTTCAACTCACTTACAAAACAGAGTTTGATGCAACATTCTCACAGGATTTAATCAAAGACCCAAACGGCGTCTGTTCGCTCATTCCACCTTCGCCCTCGTCTCCACAAAAATGAACGGGGCTTTGCGGTCAGATTGAAAAGCGTTTGCGCTGCAGCTGGCTCACATAAAGAAAATCATAGCTTCATTTAGCCCAGTAATTTCTCTGAAGGCGAAACCACGAATGTGGAATACCTCGGGAGAGTTCGCCTTAGAAGAATTACTGAAAGCAGAGATTATAATTTAGATAACCAAAAAAAGTAAGTCATTGGGAGCATAATTATAGATAGTGCTTGATTTAAATGCGCCTTTGGAGCAGAGCATTTTCATCACAGGGCAAGGTGAAGAATCTTAGAAAAAAACAACAGCTATAGAAACCGTTTATGTTTGCATTCATCAAGTGAAGAAACAGAGGGGCACAGCTGCGGAAAACTCAAAATCAGCAGTGCTGCGAGGCAAGGATCTAAAAACTCTTTGAAACAAATCATCTTAGCAGAAATAAAAGCACATCGCCTGACTGTTACTAGAACAAAATGACCTAAATTCAGATGCAGTCGACAGACAGAGAAAGCAGAGGGGAACTCTTGCAGAGGAGCTTTGTGTATTTTAGAGTTGAGAGATTCCACCATTAATCCTGCGTTCGTGTCTGTCACAAATAAAAAAAAACACAACTGAGTGATTTAAAGCCAGTGAGAAATGGCTCAGTATGTTTTAAAACATCCCAGCATAAATAATCTCAAGATCCCAGCTCAGCAGTTTCCTCTCAACGCAGGTCATTTCCCACCATGACCAGCTCTGCAGTTACTTCTTAACACTTTGAATTGTCATTGATCAGTTAACCTGTCTTCATGTCTACTAATGCTAACAAGTTATGTTTCCATTGATAAAAATTTCAAACATGAGATTCAGACAGACAGATTTTCTTGTCTGTATTTAGAGCTTCAGCCTAAAAGATCTTATTTTGAAAATCCAAACATTTGCCACAAAATACAATTTTTTTTCCCCATTTTGTGAGCCCAAATATTCATGTTTCAGGTTAAATCATTGTCATTAGGAAAAGAAAGTTAAGTTGTATTATATTCAAAATCTTTTTGGCTTGTTGTTTGATAGAAGAATTTATCTACAATGACTTGTACTACCTATATTTTTTTTATCTTGAGTGAAAATACTTAAATCACCGACCAAAGTTGCCTTTCCGAAACATTATACCAAGTCTTTCATTTATCAAACTGTAAATGAGAACTACAAATTTAAGTTATTAAATATTTTTGCACTTACAATAATGTAAGGGTATGTTACCAGGCATTTAAAAAAAATGAGACTATGAAACTCAAACGAGTTGAAGATAAAATGGGGATGCAGTGGAGAGTAAACACTTTAGAAATACAAAGACTAGGAATCAAAGAATGCAGTTTAAAAAAACTGATTTCTTTGAGAAGAGATCTGATAAACATAAGAGGCCCCAGGTCCTTAGGGACCAGAAGGAATGGGACTTTGGTTTGACGTCAGCAGTATGAAGTGAGTCCGACCAGCGAGGAATAAAAGAAAAGACTGAAGTTGCCCTTAAGCATGATAAGATACCAGACAAGTTACAGTAGCTGCAGCATTTTATCACATTATGTTTTTCCAACTTCATAAAGCTGGATCTCCAGTGACCCACTGCTGACTGTCACTGTATTGCGCTACAGCCGGCCACTGTGGTCCTTGAACAAATCTCTGATAGAAATGAGTGAACCAGTTGCAGCTACAACCAGAAGCGGAAACAGGTGCAGGCCTGATTTATGAGCCATTACATCACACTGACAAAAGCCTGCAATGTACATTTTTCACTCCTGGATGGCGGAGCTGCGACTCGCATGTGGGACTGGAGACGCAGCAGTGACCCACTCGGCATGCAGCCTAAAAAGAACAGGAGAGGCAGGAGACAGGGAGGCTTGTTGGAGACGAATTGCTGGGAAATCCAAAAGCTTTGGGTTCAAATCCAGCTTCCTCCTGTCACATGTGAATACCCCATGAATCAGTTCAGTACTTTATGAACACAAAGAGTTTCATGAAGTCAGTCTATTTAGCAAGACTAAAAAAATATCACAAAAAAATCATTATAGAAATTGGCTAATTGTCAGTAGCTTTGTTTGAGTTGGGTATTCTCACTCCTGCTGAACTGTGCGTGTTTTCTGTTTTTCTTTCAGTACCCTCTCTTGCGTCCCCAGAGAGTCGGTGATGATCCGCTTGGAACACTTTATTTTCTGAGCTGTAACCGTGCTCGCGTAAACCTCCTTTAGATCTAGTTGTGCTCTGACCTGCGCCCGTGCCTCCCGAGGTGACCTTTGCTTGCGGTGAAGTTGCATTAATCACCTGTGTGGGAGATAAACTGGGTCAACAGCACTCCAGTGGAACTGCGGGGCAATTTAGAGAAAAAAAAAAAAAGAAGAACAGAAAAAATAAGTGCAGTTGCATGCCCTCTCTCCTCCTCTCTCATTTGCTTTCATTCTACCTTATTTTCTGGCAACTCAGCAGGTATTAAAAACTGCTGCATCTATTTTAGATTTAAGTAGTGCATTAAAGAAACATGGAGCACTATAATAATTAGCTTTGACTGTCCCTCCTTTTCTCTTTTCTTCTTTTGCGTTTCTCCTGCTCCGCAGCCTCATCCTACGGCGCTCGGCTTGCTGGAAACAAAGGAGTCAGAGCAGACAAATGAGCCAGCCTATGGCTTATGACAGACCCCAAGAAAAATGATCACATTTCCCAGCTCTCCCTCTGGTCCTGACTGTCCGGTCCAGCCTCCTCCTCCTGCTTCTCCAAGCCTCACTGCTCAGGAATCATGGAAAATGACAACCGCAAGAAAACCAGCAAACATGTAAAGCAGGACAGCGGGGAGAAGGAGTGATGGTTTATTTTGATGTTTTTTTATTTATTGGTTTTCAATGAATCCAGATGGAATAATTAAAATAATAATAACAAAATAATAACAGAAATATTAAGTAGTTTTATGTACAACATGAATGTCTTTGCCATCCTCGTTTTGCCCTGTAAGTTGCAATAAACCTTGGCAAGATGTTAGGATATATATATATATATATATATATATATATATATATATATATATATATATATATATATATATATATATATATATATATATATATATAGAGACAAATCAGGTTCAAATTTGAATTCAGGTTCATAGCAATCGTTCATCCAAGTTTCTGTCTTTCCCACCATTACCAGCATCTTATGAAGGGGCAGTTCAGGCTAAAACATTATAAGCTCTTTTATGTCTTACCTCAGGTTTGATCTGATTGGCATTTTAATTTAGCGTAGGTTCAGATAAACTGGTCCTGGAAGTTGATGCTACAGGCCAATCAGGGAGGGAACAAGCAAACACTTCAGTCCCTGAAACGCCACAGCCATTATTTCCCTCTTGTAACAAGTATACAAGAGGGAAAATTACAAAACAAAATCTTAAAACAAAGAGTAAATTACTCAGTAAGTAGTAAGTAATTTAAGAACCCCTGAGATTTTAGATGCTGAGAACAAAAGTGGAAAACACAGGGGCTGTTGGATGAAATGTTTTTGTCTGATATTAAAGATGGAACAAAACGTCTCCAGTGAGACGAGCTCAGACACTTTGAATTAAGTCTGCAAAGTATTCCAAGAAACGACGGGCAGCAAAACTGAATCATCATAAATCAGGGCCACGCTGTGAGCAGAGAAAACTGCTCGTCCATAGAATGAACAAATTCCTGTGACAAGTTAAGGTACAGCCTGTAAAAAACATTAACACACGCCGATAGACAGATTTGAATCTGAATCTGTATCAAAGAAGTTGATACAGGGGGTTTCCAGATTCAGAGGAAGATTCACCCTTCATCTATGGTCCAAACTAGCAAAGTATGTTTGTATCTGTGTCCAGCACAACCAGATACAAGCAGACAAACTTCATCAGATTTTTATGGGTCGATGTAAATAACAGTAATTCACACATTTAAGAAAATGTTGTGAATTGTTATTTTCTGTATTAGAGTGAAGAAGGGAAGCAATAAAGTAGGTTATCATCAGCATAGAACAGACCCTCGCTTGTCATATCCTAATAACTGCTGTATTGATGGAAACAATTTGGCGAACAGAATCATTCGCAACAAATTATTTAGCAGCTGCTGCCGTCAGCAAGTCCAAAGCAGCTGCTTCATGTCCCTAACATGTGCACAGAGTCAACGTAAATTATCTTATCGGTTTGCAACCCAACAAAGACAGACACTCAGGAGAGATCATTTGCTCAACAATCAGGATAGGAGTCGATCAGGTAAACGTGAAGTTGGGAGGGAAATGGGACGCTGGGATGGGGATGCTGGATCCAGATACATCTGCTGGCTGCTTGTATGGGGATATGCAGCAGCTGTTGCCAAAAGAGAAATGTGTTTTCATTGAAAGCCCCCCGGCACGAACACCAGCTTCCCAACAACAAACACAATAAACCAGCTTAGCGGAGTGTAACAGAAGAATCAAGCCACTTTTCCTCAGTTATTCTCCTCAGCTGCCAAAAAACATTTAGAACCGGGTTGTTGGGACAGATGAGAGAAACGAGTCTTGGCTCTTGTAAATGTCTAGTAAGAGTTAGAGATGAGTTTTTTTTTCTGAACAACAAACCCAAGTTTGGCAAATGTCCCTTTCTTTTCCAATCAATGCGCCCATACTTCCAGGCTGCTGTTACCTGCAGCTCAAGGCAGTGCCAGCGATGCACTTCGCCTCTGTTTCGTCTCATCATTTATCCTGCAGG